AAAATTTTCCGAAAAGAGAGAAGAGAAACTGAGAATGCAGACTGGTTTGGGGCTGGACTGGTGGGAAGAGGGCGCAGAGGGAGACCTTGACTTGTGCTCGTTTGTGCTTTTGAACTTTAGATCGTATGACTGTATTACATCCCTCTCCCAGTTAAGTAAAATGTAACAGAATGAGATTTCACGTTAAAATCCAAATGAAATAAACCTGTTGCATTCATATTCTGCCAAATAGTGAAGGTTTTAACTTTTTTTAAAAAACTTAACGTCTGTTTAGATAAGGACGCGGGAGGATGACCATTCTTACATTGTAGCTTTACTTGTATACAGCATCCTTGAAGAAGAGTTTATCATTATCTATTAAAAGCTTTTAAAACGTGCTCCTTTTGACCCAGCAATTCTATCTCTGGCAATTTACCCTAAGGAAATAATTAGAGGCATGAACTAAATGAGACTTATGTAGGAAATGATGTTTATCATAGCATATTTTGTAAAAAGAGAAACGTTAAGTACACATTGAATGTCCAAGAGTAAGATGATTGGTTAAGCAAATTTTAGTAGTACATTATATTAAATAACATGCTGTCACAGAGAAAATATTTACATTATGCTAAACTAAAAAAGCCAGGTTATGATATCATATAATGTGGGTAACCATATAATGTATTATTCATAAGTGTGCAATTCGAGAATGAATGGAGGAGCTAAAATAATTAAAATTATTTGATTTTTAAAGTATTTAATGACTGTCAAATTGGCTTCATTTTATTGGATGATCTGTAAAATAGTTCCATTCAAAAACTGTTTTCTAAAAATAAAACCATTTCTAAACAAAGACATACATCCTGGTACTTTTATCCGAATTTGCAATTATCGACACCTTCAGTTGACTCTTTTGGTATGCTTTTGTTTGAACAAATGTTTTCTCTGCAGTTGCTCAGAATAAATTATGCTTGAAAGCAGGATATTCTCAATTTTAAATTTTTGCATATTAAAATGTGTAAATATTTCAGACCAGATATTTTCACAAATTGCCTTCTATTGCTTTCATTCAGAGTACCTTCTACATATTTTTACATTGAAAAATAAAACTTCTATTTTTATTTTATTTTTAGTATTTCTTCTAATTTAGATGATTCAAAAATCATAGGTCTTTTCAATTTCATTCTGTAAAGTATACAATATAAATTATATCTAATTAAAAATAGGAGCTCCATCACAAGATTCTTCGTACAAATCAAGATATTTCAACTTAAAATTATTCATTTTTTGAGTGTTCATTGTTTAATTTATTTGTTTCCTTGCTTTTATTGGGATAAATTTCAACATCAATCTGTTTGTGTGCTTTTTTGTTGTTGTTGTTTTTTAGCTGAGGAAGACTCACCCTGAGCTAACATCCATTGCCAATCTTCCTCTTTTTGCTGAGGAAGATTCTTCCTGAGCTAACATCTGTTGCTAATTTTCTTCTTTTTGTATGTGAGCCACCACCACAGCATGGCCACTGACAGATGAGTGGTGTAGGTCTGCACCCAGGAACTCAACCCCAGACTACTGAAGCAGAGTGCAGTGCACTGAACTTGACCACTAGGCCACTGAGGCTGGCCCTGCATGCTTTGTTTTTAATAATTGCAATATTTTAAGCAAAATGCGAATGGAATATAGGTAACTCATTATCAAAAAATTTTAATACAATATGGGACACTTAGGTTGATTTATCATACAAATCACCAAAAGTTTATCAAACATTTCTAAAATCCAGTTGCTTGTGGTTAGCCAAGAGAGAAATCATGTTTTTTGCTTGTTTGCTTGTTTTTATCTTTTGGTGTTCATTGCAAATTTTTTGTTCAGTTTCTCTGAATATATATAAAAATACTCATAGATTACATAAAAATATGCAAAGTTTAATATCTATACCTTTTATTTTGATCAGTTGAAAAATCATAGTATTTGTGTGAAATTATGATCTGGTTGGTTTTTGACAGCTCTACCTTTTTATAGTTGGAACTTTTCTGTCCTCAGCAGTGTTATATCCTGTTTTTAGGGTTTTTCTTATTTTTCTGAGTTGTTAGAATATACGTAGATATCAAATTTAACATTTTAGATTGTTCCTGTGAGGCTGTGTGTAAAATAAAAAGTGAACAACATTGTTTGGAATGTAGTATTTTGAAAAGTGTTTAAATGCACTATGAGTGAAACTTTCATTTGGGACCTTTGGCCAGAAAGTTTTTACAGCTGTTGGCCTTCCAGGGGCTTTGTGTTTATACTCAACCACACTATAATCCATTCACCATGCTGAAGCCTGGGTAATCTTTCTAAATAGTATGCTTTATTCCTTAAATATGAGGTTACATTTTTTAAAATCCTCCATGACTTTCCATCACACTAAAAATAAAAGTTTTTGATTTTACCATGGCCTACAGAATTCTTACATAGCCTGGATTATATCTAGTTCTCCAACCTCATCCTGTTTCATTCACTTCCCCTTCCTGAGCTCTGGCCACACCAGCCACCTTTTTCCTCAGTGCCACTGCATTTGCTGTTTCTTCAGTGGGAGTTCTCTTCTCCCAGATCTACTACTCATTGGCTCCTTCTTGTCATTCAGGTCTCAGTTTAAATTGTGTCATTTCAGAAACACTTTCTTTGAACATTGTACATAAAGAGTTTTTCTTCTAACTCATCTTCTATCACCAGGACTCAATATTTTATTTCTCTATTTCGTTTTCTTCATAACATCGCTATTTAAAATGGTCTTATTTATTATGGGAGCAGGAATGTTAGATGTCAGGTTCACTGCTGTATCTCCCAGAGCGTAGTAGGCACTTACTATTTGTGAAATGAATGTCCTGTATGGTTACTATGTCTATATTCTTACTTGATTCTCATGTCTAGCTGCAAAAACAATTTATTAGTGGTATTTGCCTATGATAATTTCAAAGACAATGTAAAAGTAGCACTAAAGGAATACAAATCTTTAAGTAAGTTAGTGATATTTCCTGATATCTATTTTAATGTTTTCTCAAACAGATAAATAACATATAGCATATTGAATTACCAGTACACAAGTGGATATAAAATAAGAGAAAGATTTATGTTTTTACTTTCTCCTAAAAGTAGAAAAGATCCTAGAGAATGGTTTCTAGTAGGAATAACCCATGAACTCTGCTACTTGAGTAATTAATCTAGTCGTCCAGTTCCAACCATGGAATAGCTTATATTAGACTAAACCTCCCACCAAAAACAATCATGAGAGCTAGACAAAATGGTGTGAAGGCATTGGAGAGCAACTTAACTGACATAGGACTTGAGCACTATGATCCTAAGAGAAGGTCATCTCCATGTAAACATTGAGTTCTTCCCTGAGGGCCTGTTCTAAATCATGGTGTAGGGCAATAGAGGCCAAGCCTAACGTGGTGGTCATTTGGGGCAGAGGAGACTATGCTCAGGACTTGGAGCTACCAAAAGGGCTGAGACATGAGGGACAGAATCTCAAGATGGAAGGAATTTCAGAGGTAGAGCCCAAAAATTTATGTACAAATTCCTGCAAGTTGTTGGCTCATTCTATAACTGCACCTGCATGGGGCAAAGCTCAAAGAAAGCAGAAAACAGCATTTGGAGGCTAAAGCGCAAAGGAGAAATTTAACAGCTGTGTGGTACTGGAGAGACAGAGGTCAGTGTTTAGAGCTGCCAAGGTGGAGGGCCCTTGGTGGATGCCCCAGGTTTTCAGCTGAGATGCTGGAGGGCCACTTCCTAGAAGTAGAGGTGAAACTGAAACAGACTACCCTTAACAAAGCTTAAAGCCAAGGTAATCTGCTTGTGCTCAACCTGTGTTTCAGAAGAACCTTAACCTTCATGGACAGAAGATAACATCCAAAGTTACTATGCTTTTTCATTTATATAGTCTGGCTTCCAATAAAAAATTATAAGGCTAAAAAGAAAAGGGAGAAAGATATCCTAGAGATATACTGCACAAATGAAATGTACACAAGATTCTTCATTGTAAAAGTTTTCATAATAGCAAAATATTAGAAATATGCCAAGGACCACCAATTGAGGATTTTTTTCTTTTTAAAATTTTTTTAAAGATTGGCGCCTGAGCTAACATCTGTTGCCAATCTTTGTTGTTTTTTTTTTTCCTTCTTCTACACAAAGTCCCCTAGTACATAGTGGGATATTCTAGTTGTAGGTCCCTCTGGTTGTGCTGCATGGAACACTGCCTCAGCATGGCCTGATGAGTGGTGCCATGTCCACCCCCAGGATCTGAACCAGTGCAACCCTGGGCTGCCGAAGTGGAGCGTGCAAACTTAACCACTCGGCCATGGGGCCGGCCCCCTCGCCAATCAAGGATTTATTAAGTAAATTATATCTGTTTGCATAATGCAGCAGTTTTCACACAGGCACTGTCAGCATTAGGGGCAAGACAATTCTTCATAGTGTGATCCTGTCCTGTTACATCTTTGGTGCCAGCACAATAAATGCAATTTGAGAGAACTCAAAATGCCCTCACACATTTTCATGGGCCTCTGGGGTGGGGCATTCCAATTGAAAATTATTAATGTCATAGAATTCTGTGCAGCTGTAAACAAAATGAGAAAATTGTTTATGAACTGATATGGAAAGACCACTGAGGTCTATCTTAAGAGTAAAATGTAAACTATGAAGCAGTAAGTATACTTTGCTATGTTTTGTTTAAGAAAGGAAGAAAATAATATATATTTGGATTGCTTATATATGCATCAAAAATTCTGTCCCAATACATTAGAAGATAATGAAAGAGATTATATGTGAGAATGGGGTGAAATATACTTTTCTATATTATTTTGATTTTTAAAACATGTAGATGTATTATCTATTCAAAAGAACTTTAAAATAATAAAATTTTACATGTAAGCAAGCTATTGTGTTAGAAATAATTTCTAAGAGATGTAGTTGAAAGTTATGTATTCATTTAAAAAATGTTTTGCTCTTTTCCCAATCCTGTCTCCTTTTACCTTACTTTCGTTCAGTGGAGTAGGGCGAAACTGGGGCTGGGCATCTGCAGGCAGCAGCATTCTTGCTGAATTTGGTACGCTACATATGGAGTTTGTTCACCTCAGCTACTTGACAGGGGATCCAGTTTACTACAAAAAGGTTAGTTTTTTTGCCTTCTTTTCTTTGCAAGATTTACCCAAATACTTGATTAATGCTTAGAAGATGTTTGCCTTTCTAGAAGTATGTTTATCAGGACTCTGGGCTTCTTTTTTCTGTTTAAATTATCTAAAGAAATGTCCCACTGAGAACATATTTAAAATATTTACTGTTGAGAAGTTGTAACTGCTAGCAGGTTTTTAAAAAATTCCTTTGCCAACTTTATTTAGCCTTGTGCTGAAGTTCCTTCTCAGCATGGTAAGACAAGAAAAACAAAATGAACAAAACATTTGAGAATTGGAAAGGAAGAAGGAAAACAGTAATTATTCACAGATTGCATGACTACCTAAAATATTGACAGTCTACAATTAAATTATTAAAAATAAGAGCTTAATATATTTTTTGAATAAAAGGTCGATAGATATTAAAAATCAGTAGCATTTCTCTGTACCAGCTACAGAAGACAAGAAACTATCGTTTTACAAAAATATACCTTCTGTGGTGGGAACAAAAGTGTAAGTTTTCTACAAATCAACAAAAGATAAGCAAAATTCAAAACGTAAATAAATGGAGAGAAGTATGATGTTAATGTATAGGTAAACAATATTATAAAAAATTTAGTCATGTCCAAATTGATCTGTAGCATCAATTCAATGCCAGTCAAATCCCCACGGGGTTTTTTGTTGTAGTGGAACTTGACTAGACACTTATAGAATTTATATAGAAGAGAAACTTTCAAGATATTCCTGAGGAAAAACATTTGGGTGGGTTTGCATTACCCACTTATCAACACTGACAGTGTAGTGTTGGTGTACAGAGACAAATAGACTGATGAATGGAAGAAACAGCCCTTAAACAGACCCTCATATATGTGTGGAAATGTTATGGCAAGGGTAGCGTTGTAGATTATAACAGTTAATTCCAGCAGTATTGAAAGCTTATATTTAAAAGACAGAAATTTAGTCAAGTTGAAAATACATATACCCTATAATCTAGCATTTCCACTCTTTGTTATATATATTTATATCATATACATAGAAACATTGTTTGCATTAACAATTTATATAATAAAATCAATACAGCAGTGAAACTGAATGCATTGTGGTTATATTCATCAATTAAGAGGACATAATACAACATTTTTAAAGTTCAAAACAAACAGAGCTGAACAATATATTGTTTAGGCATTCAGAAGTGATTTTAGTAAAGTCAAGATAATGACCAACATAAAATTCAGGACTCTGACTGCATCTAGGACAATGGCAGTGATATATGAGGGGCAGTGGTTAAACAGAGCATCAAAGGCGTTTGTAGTGTTATATGTCTTAAATTGGGATGTGAGTAGACTATGTATTCCTTTCATTTCATCACTTGAGAAGGATTTTCAGGTAAAGATGGCAAAGTGGAGCCAGATCAGAGAATTTTCCCTTTCCTGACTAAATGAACAATAGCAGCAAAAATAGTAAAGACCAGCATAAATTCATCAACAGCAGTGAAGGAAGGAAAGGCAGCAACCTCATGTCATAAACATGTGACAGCCAAAAAAAAGAAGATGATTTCTGGCATGGTAATTAAGTCATTTTCCCACCCTATCCTGAATCCTTAGTGGGCAGAGAAAGTGAGTTAACAAATTCGTGGTATTCTCTATTAATCTTACAAGGGAGACCAGTGCCTAGGATGTCCAGTATACAACTGCCCACAGCTCCAGGGGGTTCTCACCGTCCATCCTCCTTGAATGCATGGACTTCAGGAAATCAGCTAAGGCACTGGTACTCCAGATCTCAGATTGTATCCAGGAGGGGAGGGACACCCCCTCCCCCCCCCCCACACACACACAGTAGGGAGGAATTCAAGGACAATTCAGCTATATAGTGTCAAATCAAAGTTCAGGTCATAGCTGACCATGTTAAATGTGAGCAAGATGAAGAGAGAAAGCATGGAAGTTATGCAAACCTATTGCAAGAAACAAAAGCAAGGTGGTAAATAGCATGTAAAAGAATGACAAAGAACCTAGTTTCAAATTTTAAAAAGTCACCATGAGTAATTCATACTTAATAGAAATTGAATTCAGCAAAATAAGAACTCCAAACAATAAAATGATACAAAAAGATTGTGGAGCTAAAGAAACAAATTGAGACCTTAAATAATATCTTTCTATAACAAATAAATAAATGAGAAAGAACAAAGAACTGACTGTACATAGTTGAAAACTGAATTACTGACATAGAATAAAAGCAAGAGATCATCATAGTGAAAACAAGGAAAAATGTAAAGTGATTAAAAAGGTGATAAATTCAGGGGCCAGCCCGGTGGCAGAGTGGTTAAGTTCATGCAGTCATCTTCAGCAGCCTGGGGTTCATGGGTTCAATCCCAGGTATGGACCTACACACTGCTCATCAAGCCAGGCTGTGGGGGCGTCTTACATACAAAATAGAGGAAGATTGGCACAGATGTTAGCTGAGAGACAATCTTCCTAAAGCAAAAAGAGGAAGATTGGCAACAGATGTTAGCTCAGGGCCAATCTTCCTCACCAAAAAAGAAAAAAAAAGATAAATTCATAAAATGAAGATAATCTAACATGGTATTTCTGAAGTGGAACACCTAACACACATAGGAATCACCTAAAAGCAACAAGGAGAAACAGAACTGTAAACTCCATTTTTAGCAAAAGTAAGAGATACTTGATGTTTCATATCACAAAATAGGAAGAAAGGTTGGCTGAAGCAATCAAGAGCAGAGAGAGGTTTCGGACACTGAAGAGAGGATGTTTGTGGCTGCAGGTTTCAAAACCAAAAAGGCAGTAGAGCACAGTTCTTCAAAGTAAGTGGTACCTCTTGAGGTACAAAAGCAAAATGCTCGTTAGCAACAATGAGAACAGGCTGACAGGCTGATGATGTGATGGATGGATGCTCCTTTGGATCCCACTAAACAAGATGCTCTTGAGAAGCTAGAAAAATAGAATTCAGTGAAGATTTATGGACCAGCTATATTTGTGCCTGACAACTTTGGAGAGGGAAGAGAATAAATTGACAGATTCTCTGTTATGAGCAGTGCTGCATTGCTAGTTTCAGTTGTCTGGGGAGAAGCATAGACTAACAAAGCACATGTACATGTGGACTCTCCTGACCTTTTATGTCAAAAAACTCTTATGAATAACTGGTTCAAGAAAAAAAATAGCAATGAGTAACTCATGAAAAAAGAACAAGTATAGAATTTATATAAAAATATTACCAGAAAAAAAGAGGGAAGAAACATGAAAAATAACTTACGGCCAAAAAATACTTATCGGAAAATAACAATTGAAAACCCTGACCAAATGTCACCATGAGAGAGAAGAGAATGGAGCTTTCATCTGTGTAAAACAAGTATATATACAGAGATACAAGTGCTCAGAGACAGTAAGATATGATAATCAGTAAAAAAGTGTAAGAAAAAATAAAATTATCAACAAAATGGAGGCCAAAATGGAATCAACACAAAGAAAGTTTTCAAAATATGGTAAGGGACTTAGAAAACAAAATTGAGACAAGTTAGTAAACGTATGGAAATCAAACAACAGCTAGAGAAAAATTAGGAGGGAAATGATAAATGTTGAAGAGAGGCAGAGAGGATTCAGTGTCTGCCTAATTTTCAGAAGACAAAAGAATGTTGATTTTTTCATCTTTAGTGACAGCATCGTTCTGAACTGACTAAACCTGGTGCGTGGAATTATTCAGATTGAGATTGTTGTGCGTAGAATCGGCCTCAAACATGAAAAACCAGGGTAATAGAGCGTCCCTGAGCATGTTTGTAAAACTACTTGGTGACAAAATGCAGCCAAATGAAAGATGTTTAGAAACTTTGTGTTAAAAGTTCAAGTGTGTGTTCAAGTCCAGAAGATAGTGAAGTATAGGTAAGGTCCGGGGGGGGAAAGTTTTCCCAAGTGTTTTATACCAACTAGGTTATCCTTCCGATGTAAGGATAACTTTCTCAAACAAATAAGAATACCAGGAATAGGACACCTTTGTGCCTTTTTTTTTAAATTAGCACTTAGAAAATCCATCCAATTTAGAGATGAATCAAAATAAAGTCCCTGGGAATGTCTTTAGCTTCTTAATATATTTCATGACTTTTTTTCCCCCTAACTCTGGGGAGATCTTTTAGGAACTGAAAGTTCTGGAATTATAGGAATTTAGGGATATCTGTTATAGGATCAGTATTCAAAGTTCAGCAGTTTAGTTTTACTTCATTTGCTTTTTAATCTATTAAATTCAGATTAGTTTCATTTTTTTATTACAAATGTCATATTATGATTACATTTCTATGAAATTATTTCTGTTCTTATATTTATTTAGGTATGTACATATTGAATATGTCTGGAATGATATTTATCACTAATGTTTCTGATGTCTGTTTTTGGCTGCTAAAATTTTGGGACTTAAATTGGTTTCTCTCTGTGCTCTTTTTTTTGTATTTTTATTGTTGTCTGACTCTTAAATAATGATCATATATCATCTTATAAGAATAATGAGTCATTTAAAAAATAGAAGCTTTTCCTGACCCCCCCCCCCCCCCCCCACACACACACACAGAAGCTGAGAAGGTCGTATAGGTTCTGAGTGAGGAAAAAACACAAAGCCTAGATTAATATAAAGCCTTGATGACATTTTATTTTTCGTTAATTGCGTTCTTAAATTTTCTTTTGCTTAGGTCATGCACATCCGGAAACTGCTTCAGAAAATGGATCGTCCAAATGGTCTTTATCCAAATTATTTGAACCCAAGAACAGGTCGCTGGGGTCAGTGTAAGTGTTTCTAGTATAACTAATACTTTGTTAAAAGGTTGTCTGAAAACTTTTGTTTGATGTAGCGAAAAGTACACTGCGTGTAGAGTTAGAAACCCTCAGTCACTGTCTAACCCTGTGATCTGCTAGTGCTGTTACCTTTGGCAAGTTTCTAATCTCTTGTAGCTTCAGTTTTTCTACTTGTAAAATGGGAATATTAATAACCTATCTCACAGGAATATTTTATTTCGTGTCTATGTAAGTACTTTGCTAAAATGTATTGTGGCGTTTATGAAGGGTTGTACTTTAAGCCCTTGTTTATAAATCTTCTCTTTATGTAAATAAGTGTATTACTTGGGATCAGTATTTATCAAAGGAATATCAAGAACACATGAGTATGTTCGATGACTGGAAAAAGGGGCAACTGCTCTCGGCAACTGTCAGGTCTGATCGTTCATTTTAAAAGAAGCCATCAGCGTCTGCATTTACCAAATTCGGCGCCAAGTTCTTGGACGAGCCTGGAGATGGGGAGAGAATATATAAGACCTGGTCCGAGTTCAGTGAGCTCCCAGGCTGGCAGGGTAGGCAGACACACTCAGAAGCAGTTGGAATATGTGATAAACGTGCTCGTAGAAGAATGTCCCAATTGTCGTGTGAGACTGTGGCAGAAGTGGTTCCCTCGGTCTGAGGAGACAGCGTTTTGTTTGGGGAAGGGATAATTTTCTTATTAGAGCTTTAGAATTGATCTTTGAAGGAATTGATTTTTTAAAAACAATAAAGTGTTTATGTGGAAATGTGAAACTTAAAGAATTTTAATAAATTAAGGCTTTTTCAATGGTATTCTCCCTTAAAGGGTAGAAAAACTAAAACAAATAGTAGCACTTGCAACTTTGCCCCTAGTGTAATGTGTCTGATTATTTTTGAGATTAACGAAATCATACTGAAGTAGTAAATAAGAGGTAAAAGTAACAATCACTTAATTTTATGTGTGGAAAATGTGTTGGATCCGCTAGGGTGTCCTACCAAGAGGAGGAAAACGTTTGCCATAGAATTGTCTTTGGGCTGCTCTCCAGGAAATTGTCCTTTATTTTATGAAAGAAAAGCAGATTGATCAATACAGTTATGTCTTTCATGGCTGTAGGAATAGATCTCAAGCTTCTCGCTCTTTTTATGTACTTTTCTTTTCCTCTATCCTGAAATTCTTTACCTGTAGCTCATTTTTCTTTCTCTTTTGAATAAAATATATAAAGATCTAATGCCTAGATGGGGTAAAAATGATATTGTCTAAAAAAAAAAAAAAACCTTAGAGTAGCATTTCTAAAATATAAAAATGTACTTTTCCTATTCCAGATAAGGGTGACTAGTTTGGATGTCTACTCAGTAATTTGGGTAAATCTTATTATAAACTTTGTCCTCTTAGAATTATATTAAGATTTGGGAATATTCTAACGTTGGGGGAACAATTATATTTAATTCCTTTCTTATATCATATGCAGTATATATTCTATATGGTATAACTATTTAACTGTAAAAAATATGAGACTGTAAGATATTGATTATATAATCAGGAAAGCCTTTTCTAAGAATGTCACGTAAAGCAGAAACTGTAAAGAAACAGATGTCAGTTTTTAGTCTATATAAATGTTAATCTCTTACATTTCATAATGAAAGGCAAGTAACAAGCTAAGGAAATGTATTTGAGCATGTTTGGAAAACAACGTTTTCATATCTCTCTATATCAAGAATTCTTATAAGATCATAAGAGAAAGATGATCAACCCAGTAGAAAAATGGACTGAGAAAAGTTAGTTCATTAAAAAAAGAAAACCACAAATGGGCAACAAACAGATGCTCATATTTAACCCTAAGTGGTGTTAATGCAGATAAATGGTACATGGGGACAATGTAGTATGACAGCATACTCTTTCTGTACGAATGGTGCTACTTGACTGCAATTTACAAAGACTGCCGTCTTTGTACTATATTTGTAGCATCTCCATAGACTGGTCACCAGAGACCTTTGCCCCTCTCTTTTCTCGCTTCACCACATCCCTAGTCAAATCAATGCAGCTTTTAAACAGAAGACACTCTTCTTTATCTATTTAATTGATAAAGGAAATGAACACATCCCTATATCCATTGCGTCAAAAAGTGTGAAAATTTGGATGTTCTTTGAACCAGAGACTCATTTTTAGGCATTTATTCCAAAGAAATTTTCAGAATATATATATATTTAAGAACCAAATATTTAAGAACCAAAACTGTAAAACTCTCAGAAGAAAACAGGGACAAGTATATATATAAAGTTTATTTACAATAACTTTGGAATGATTTATAATAGGTATAATTTGGAAACATTCTAAAGCAGGCTTGTCCAATAGAACTATCATGAAGAAAACGCTCATATCTGTTCTATCTAATATAGTAGTCACTAGCCGCATGTCGTTACTGAGTGCTGGAAATATTGCTAGTACTGTGTGGAACTGCATTTTAAATTTTATTTACTTTTAGTTAATTTAAATTTAAATAACTACTTGTGACTAGTGCCTACTGCATTGGGCAGTACAGTTTTTGAACATCCTATGAAAGAGATTTGGTTAAATAAATTATAGTTTGCCCAGATGTGGTATACAATGCAGCCATTATACATTATGTTATAGAATATTTGACTTAGATAAACGTATACAGACAGATATTTAGAAAAAGAAAGAGAAAACAAAAACTACAAGAATAGAAACCGAAGTGTTATGTGTTTTTTTCTGAATGTTCATTTTTATTTTCTTCTTTTTGTTTACTTTTATTAATCTAAATTTGATAACAGACATCTATTACTTTTGAAATAAGATTAAAAACGATTTTAAATACTAAAGAAGATGCCATCTTCCACACCAAAATCCTAGAATACTCAAAAAAAGTAAATCACTGTTTGAGAATTGCCAGCCTTTGAAATGACCAGCAGTGTAGCATTGATGGCATCTTAATTTTTAACAATGTAACTCTTTCTCTTCATCAAATGATGTTGTGAAAACTGGATGGCCACATGAAAAGAGGGAAGTTGGGCTCTTACCTTATACCGTATACAGAAATTAACTCAAAATGTATCAAAGACAGTATATTTAAGAACCCAAACTGTAAAACTCTCAGAAGAAAACAGGGACAAATCTTCATGACCTTGGATTTGGCAATGGTTTCCTCAAAAGCACAGGCAGCAATAGAAAAAAAACAGGTAAATTGGATTTCATTAAAATTAAAAAAGTTTTGTGCATCAAGGGTCACTATCATGAGAGTAAAAGATGGCCCACAGAATGAGATAAAATATTTTCAAATCGTATATCTGATAAGGGCTTAATATCCAGAATATATAAAGAACTTCTACAACTCAACAACAAAAAGACAAACACCCAATTAAAAATGGGTGAAAGACTGGAACAGATGTTTCTCCAAAGAAGATACGTAAATGGAAAATAAACACATGAAAAAGATGCTCAGCATCATTAGTCATTATGGAAATGCGAATCCAAAGCACAATGAGATGCCACTTCACACCTACTAGGATGATTGTACTCAAAAAGACATAAAATAAGTGTTGGCAAGGTTGTGGAGAAATTGAAACCTTTGTACATGGCTTGTGGGAATGTAAAATGGTGCAGCCATTGTGAAAAACAGTTTGTTGGTTTCTCAAAAAGTTAAACATAGAATTCCATGTGATCCAGAGATTCAGCTCCTAGGTATATACCCAAAAGAATTGAAAACAAGAACTCAAACAGATATTTGTATGCCAGTGTTCACAGCAACATTATTTACAATAGCCAAAAGGTAGAAACAACTCGAGTGTCCAACAGATGGGTAAACAAAATGTGGTATATCCACACAGTAGAATATTATTGAGCCAAAAAGAGAAATGAAGTTCTTGGGACCAGCCTGGTGGTGTAGCGATTAGGTTCATGCCCTCTGCTCTGGCAGCTTGGGGTTTGCTGGTTCGGATGCCAGGCACAGACCTATACACCGCTTATTAAACCATGCTGTGGCAGGCATCCTGCATATAAAGTAGAGGAAGACGGGCACTGATATTAGCTCAGGGCCAATCTTCCTCAGCAAAAAAAAAAAAAAAAAAAAAAAAAACCCACAAAAACAAAAGAAAGAAAGAAAAAAGAAAAAAGGAGGATTGGTGGCAGATGTTAGCTCAAGGCTAATCTTCCTCAAAAAAAAAAAAAATGAAGTTCCAAGTGGTACTACAACATAGGTGAACCTTGAAAACATTATGCTAAAATGAAAAAAGCCAGTCGCAAAAAGGACAAATATTGTATGATTCCTCTTGTGTCACATATCAAGAGTAGCCAAATTCATAGGGACAGAAAGTGAATGAGAGGTTACCAGGGGCTTGGGTGACAGGGGAATGGAGATTATTGCTTAATAGGTTCAGAGTTTTTATTTGGGGTGATGAAAAAGTTTTGGAAATAGTGGTGATGGTTGTACAACATTATGAATATAATTAAGGCCACTGAATGGTGCACTTAAAAAATAGTTAAAATGGGAACTTTCATGTTACGTATATTTCACCACAATAAAAAACTTGCAATAAGAAATAATTCTTTCATTCTTCTTTGTTTTTTTGCTACAAAATAAATTCAAGTTACTTTTTCAGAATATGTTCACTCCCAGCAGTTATTTGTTTTGAGAATGTTATAAAAAGAGCTACTCACTGGTTATTTTGGCATGAGACCTTTACATTCCTGGGGGAGCTGCCCTGATATCTTTTTAGCAGCTGCTGTCCTTACTCAGTTGTTCAATTTGTTCCTTTTAATGTTTTTGTATATTTTATATCAGCTTCTGAAAAGTATATCAAATTCCATTATTATCCTTGAGCGGTATACATCTGTCATATCTATAAATAGTGTGCAAAACAAACAGTGGATTGAACCAAAATGCAGCAGTTCGGCTCCAGCTAACTGTATTATAATTAGAGGAATGATGATGTCTGTGACAGGCACATAGCAATCACAGAATAATTACTGGTAATTA